TGAATAAAAGGAAGAGAAAATGTGTGTTTTAATAATTTTATATTTAAGAACCGAGCTTAAGTTTCTCTGTTGGACATGGCCTTAGCTTATAAACCCTAGAAAAGTTGTTCACTTTACCAAATTCGACATAAGTAGTAAAACCATAAAATGCATATGATGATTCTTCGGTAACTAGAGCCGTTTCGTTCCGTCCCGTCACTTAGATGATTCTTCGCTCTTTTTTTTGTTATTATATATAAAAAGAATTTAATTTCTTCTTAAGTAGAATTTTCCTACTTCCAAAATAAATTCTTAAATTATAAATTATAATGTGGTTCGATTTTTTTTTTTTTCACGAATTTGGTTCGATTATATGTAAAATATTTAGATCAAAAGAAACCTTTTTTTTTTGTGAAAGCTTTCATTCTATTTTGTTCTTAATAAATTTGAATAGAGTCAAATTACGTTTATTGGGACAAATGCACTGTCGGATGCACGTGAGATCATGTGGTTGGTTAATATTATACGAATACTCTCTCAAGTCAAAATAAGACCTAACTGAAACTCAGCCATTACATCGAGAGAAAATTTACCAAAAATACAATAAAAAAATTATAATTTGAAAACTAACAAAAAAATCATAAATCTAATAGTCTAAAAATTGCCACATATCCTATTTTTTTTAAAAATTTAAATTTTTTTCTTTTGGTAATTCACCAAAAAAACTCTTACATTAAACAAAATCTGATTCTTTAACAATAAAAACCCAATCAATTTTTTTTCTTTTTCTTTTGCCGTCACAATCCAATCAAATTTAAGTTGTTTTGATAGTTTTTTTTTAAAATTGTTGGAAGCTTTTTATCTAAACGTATAAAACAAAATCACTAAACCAAGTAAGTGAACAACAATATTTTTTTTATCTTTTTATTTACAATTTAACATCGTTAACTTCCAGAGGATCTAATTTGCTTTATATAAAAAAAAATTAAGGTTTTCTTTGATTGTTATAAATTGTGTTGGCTTTTAATCTACACTTCAATCTTTGTTAAATGCACAATTTTTGTTCACTATTCTCTTTATTAGTGGTTATATGAGATTAAAAATGTACACCAAATGCTCATCTTCTCATCTACAATGGTTCTCAAGGATAATTGTCTATTGAGATGCATGATTTTGTTGTTGAGACGAATAATTTGGATAAGGTTAGTAGATGGTTTTTGGTTACTACTTTTGTTGTACACATTTTTGGCTTGATGATTTCAATTTTTTTTTTTTTGTCATTCTATACCAGGTTAATATGATAATAAAGAAATTGCCGAGAAAAACTAAAACTTATGCCCTGAAGGCATCGC